GGTAAATCATCCCTTGACACTTGCAAATTAATTGTCAAAACTGATTCCCCAAAAACCTTCCAGTGGCCGGCCTGCTTTTTACGCCTTGCAATACAAAAAAAAAACGGCTGAGTCTTCCTAACTCAGCCGAAGAAGCTGACATGGCCGAAACAGCCACATGCGCCTGTACAGCTGCCCGAATCAGCAGCCATGTTGCGCGCAAGACGGATCCTGGCAGCATTGCCTGCACAGGATATGCACGCACCGGCTTCCTGGCTGATTGCGCCCACATTGCTTGCACATCGCGATTGTGACTGTCGGAGGGGGCTTGGTGCGACCTTCCCGCTGTGCTTGCTCATGTGCCTGAGCCCGTGCCAGCTTTTTTTGGCTCCACCCGCTTGTCGGTCGATGCCTGTTTGATGCGGCCGGAGCAGCCGCTGACGACGACCGGGCCGAAGCAGCCCCTGAGCCAACGCCGAGGCGATCGATGTGGGCCATTACGTCGTTCATGAATTTTTGGAGATCAGCATGGCTCACAGCCCTGTCTTCATTGGGTCGCAGGTCTGCATTGCACTTGTAGGGCCGGAGATCCACACTCTTTCGGCTACCCCTTCTGCTGGGCTCGTCCTCGTCGTCTTGTCCGCGGTGACGACGACGACGACGCCGGCTTCGGCGCGTCTCCTGGTCGTCATCGTTTTCGTCGTCATCGTCGTGCTTCCGCGGCGTAGCCTGCTTTGCTTCCTTGCCTTCCTGTTGTCGGTCCTGTTCTTCCTGCTTTACAGATGGCCCCAGTGTAAGTCGTGGCTTATTTCGGGGCGGTGCCGCTGAACCAGACGATTCCCTGGCCCTTTTTTCATCAAGTCTGGCAGGAGCAGTCGGTCCGCCGTCGTCGTCTTCTTCCGATGACGACGACGACGACGACAAGTCGTCGTCAGAAGACGTCTTTTCCCCGCCGTCGATCGCCTCCTCTTCTTGTTTCACCTGTTTGGTCAGCGTCAAAGCTGCAGTGGCCGGAGCAGCCACGTGTGGAGCAGGGGCAGCAGCAGGCGGAGAAGAAGCGGCCGCAGCAGCCACTGGCGGAGAAGCGTTGGCCGCCGGAGCAGCCGCATGCTTCGGAGGTGGAGCAGAATCGGCCGCAGCAGCCACTGGCGGAGGAGCGTTGGCCGGAGCAGCCGCATGCTTTGGAGGTGGAGCAGCTTCAGAAGCGGCCGCAGCAGCTGGCGGAGAAGCGTTGGCCGGAGCAGCCGCATGCTTCGGAGGTGGTGAAGCGGCCGCAGCAGCCAGTGGCAGAGGAGCTTTGGCCGGAGCAGCCGCATGCTTCGGCGGAGGTGCAGCCGCAGCCGCCTTGGCAACTGAAGCACCGGGTGCCTGATCATCCGCGCTGTAGTCGACGCCATGCGCGTCGGCGTCTGCGGCAGATGCAACTTCAGCCTCCCGTGCTTGCACAGCCTGAGGTATGCCACGGATCACTGCCAACGCCGTCTCCAGCCGTTCTTCGGAGTGTGGATGGGTGGGTGGCCCCCATCTAAACAGCGACTGGTACTCCTCCGCTTGTGTCATTGTCCGGGCAATCCCCAAGGCAACCATCAACTCGAGCATGTTACCTGCGAATTCTAACTTGTTTTCCAAAAGCCATGAATCCCACAGACCTTGTTTTGAAAGTGGTTTTCCCTGCTCCTGGAAAAGGACAGCACTCGCCAAAGTCTCCCATGCGCCAGTGCCCATGGCGTAGAGGGCGTCGTAACTATCGTCCACCACAGCTGTTGCACCCAGTCGTGCGCACACAGGTCCTTTTTCTGCTTTTTCTCTGACCAAGTGGATGCATTCATCTGGAATGCCAAAGGTATGCTTGCAGAAGCGCAGCACCCAGTGTTTGTTGCTTGGGAAGTTAACCCTGCTCACCACGTGGGGCCATCTGCCAGATTTGAACTTGTACAACTGGACCAAGCAGTAGGCCCCTTCCATTGCTGCTTTGTAAATTTTGTCGTCGTCATATTTTACGTCGTCAGTCTTACACGACAAAACACCACCACAGTCTATGGCCAAAATCCTTGCCTTTTCCGGCAAGTCCACCATTTTTTGTCGATACAGAGGCATTGTGGCCGAAGCAGCCACCAAAATTAGCCGAAGCGGCTAGTCTTTGTTGGCCGATGCAGCCAGGGGGCGCAGATGGCGTGGCCACACAGAAGCCACGTGTGCTGGAGCCGAAACTCTTAAAACGGGCAAGTGGATGTGAGAGAGGCCCCTAAGGAGAGGACAATCCGTCCTCTCCTTAGGAGGTTCAAGGACGACCCCGAAGCTCCTAAGGAGAGGACAACAATGGGACAAAGGTCCGTAAAAAACTCATACTTAACAGTATTTCAGTTTCGTCCCCTTGTCGTCCTCTCCTTAGGAGGTTCAAGGACGACCCCGAAGCTCGTAAGGAGAGGACATTCCCACCCGTTGATTCGAGGTCCGTTGAAAATCTGGGGATGCTCCTAAGGAGAGGACAAAAAATCTAAATTTCCCTTTTAATTATTATAACGTCATTTGGTGGTATTTATCTGATTCTGCTTACCGTGACACCCGCCCCAGCCCAGTTGCCTTTGCCTTTTGCACCAATTCAGTCCGAGACCGACTGCTGTATATACAAACATCCTAGACTAGCTAAGAAGCCGAAGCAGCTTCAAGTACCTTTTGCAAGACGAGCCCAAGCAGCTTTGACAGGCCGAAGCAGCCTGAAGCTGCAAGGCTGAAGCAGCTTCAGTTGAGGCCGAAACAGCCGTAGCCAGAGATTAAATTAAGAAAGGCATGTTCCATGTTTGAAAGACAGATAGACATCAGATATCTGCGATTAATCCAATCCAACCGCATCATATGTGGATTTGCCTGGGCGGCGATGGCTGTCTCACACATGCTTTCTGTAAAAAGAGACACTGACTGGCAGTCCCAACAATGCGGCAGCTTGCACAGAATGAAATTCTTTGTCAGAATAATAAGAACTTAACGGGCTGGATAGGTTTAAACTGACTCAGAATGAACCAGGAGATGACATTTCCAAGATTGAAGATATCAATCAGCACTCCGACGACGACGCCTTGATAACCATCCGGGTCCTGGCGCAAAAATGCCTGGATCACACTGGGACTGTCGGCTTCTCTCCTCCGACACAGCTCACATTAAAAGCCAGAAACCGTGGCATGCATTGCCGCGTCCTTTCAAGCGGCCGAAGCAGCCGTGCTTGCCGAAGCAGTAAGACGTAGAAACAGTGCAGCATTTCAAGCGGCCGAAACAGCCGCGCTTGCCGAAGCAGCAAGACGTATAGAAACAGCGCAGCAGAGAACACACTGGTCGGCCGGGAAGAGCCACCGTGACCCTTTCTTGATTTGAGCCGAGATGTTCGCAACTTGTACCTTGTAAGCTATGACGAAGTCGGGTAAAAGCAAGTATATTTACAGTATATTAATTACGTTATTCTAACCTGTTTTACCGGGAAAACGTCCTCATTTTACACTATAAAATCTTGTTTGAAGCCCTCAATTTACAACATTCCCACCGAGGACAGCGGCACAATTTTGCACACCTGCTGTCATACCATCTCAGGTTCCAACAAAGCCGAAGCAGCCTTGCAGCCGTGGCAGCTGTCAACCAGCGGAAAGAGCTGGACAAGCAGACACCGACGACGACGCAGCGCCGCTGGCGAACTTGAGAAAAGCACCCCTACGCGACGAAATCCAGAAGCCGCCGCTTTCGGCCCGAGACTTGGATAGGGTCCGTGCAATGTCCACACCATATGTCAGGAAAGACTTGCTGCAGCCAACATCGATTGCTACAGGTGTCTTTCTTGGATCCACCTTGTGGTCATTGAAAACCTTTTTGTACACAGTCAATGCCAACTCTTTGCTCCTTTTGTTTGCTGGCAATCGACCAGGAACGTCTTCTGAAGTTTCTGGGTCCAAAACTGACGTCAACGACCTTGCGCCCTGCGACTTTGGCCATTTAAATGGTCGTCTGTACGAATCCTCTCTGACTGCGACGATGAAGAGACGCTTGCGGTCCTGAGCAACCTTGTAATTTTTGGAGTTGAGCACACCAAAGAAGGTTTTGTAACCCAGCTCTTGGAGTTTTTCTTTAATTCCTTTCAGCACTGGTTTAAAATGGTTTAAACCTCTTGGCACATAAGCCTTTGACATTTTCGAGCACGAATGCTCGGGGTTTTCGGCGTTTAACATATTTCATTGCCACCGTCATCAGGCCACCACGAGGATCTTTCAGACCACGTTTCTTGCCCTGCGCAGACCATGCCTGGCAAGGGGGCGTGGCAATGTAGAGATCAACCGTCTTTTCGTCTTCTTCTTTGCGGTTGGATACGTCGCCGTATAGTGTCTTCGGATTGTAGAACTTCTGCAAAAGCTTCTGACAGTCTTCGTCGCTATCTGAACAAAATGTGTGCTCGACAGGGATCTGTGGCAACCGCTGCAAAGCCAGCATACCCGTGTCCAACCCGGAAAAATCCGAACCCACCTTCACCAAACGAGGCGTTCGCTGCATCTCGCCGCTGATTCTGGCCGAAGCAGCCAAATCAACTGGCCGAAACAGCCTGGAATCCGAACCGGACCAGCCGAAACAGCCGAGGCAGCCGAAGCAGCTACTCTAACAGCTGAAACAAGCGAAGCCGCTGTGCTGACAGCCTCTCAAACCGAAATGCCTGCACAGGTCTGCGAAGTAAATTAAACTTTGCACGTCCGAAAAATTTGCCACACAGACAGAACTTCTGATGTCTGACAGTCTGGTTGCCATTCTCTTGCTGAACTTTAACTATTTTAATCTTGAGCCTACACCAGGTAATGCAGCCAACACAAAGTGTACAAACGCAGCCTAGGCTCACTTTTCCACCCTGCAAATTTAAGCTTTGTTCAAGCCAGTCAGCGATGCAAGAAGGTCTGCCCTACGAATGCGCTGCATTAAAGTCTCCACAGTGTAAACTTGCTTCGCCCTCGCCAATGCCTCAGGGACAGCTATAGATGCAAGTGTACAAAGAGTCACTGTTCCATCAGACCAAACAACGTAAAAACACGAACCAACTGAGAATAATATAGCCAAGCTGCCACAGCCGAGCGCTCCTCTGGCGACACAACCAAGTAACCAACTCCTTGCGGATAATCTCTTTGTTTGTCGGTCATGTCTTGAAACGATGCGTCGGAAGCCATTTTGTGAAGCGTCCACTTGCAACCAGGCGGCAAAACAGACCATAGCATTTGCAAAAATGGCAAATGTCTCTGAGCACATTCAGCTGACACAATCAAAGCCCGTCGTGCCGAAGCAGCACAATGAGATTTCAAAGCAGCACCCGAACCGCGAAGGAAAAAATCGGGACATGCCTCCAGACGACCCAGCACTCCAGCGACAATGCTAAGCTTGTCCTTCTCACTGCAGTCTCCAGGCCGGTGACAAATCAAAACATCAGCTTCTAACATGTTGTGACAAACCGTCAAGCCAGCATTTGCCAATGCAGCCTGAAGATGCACAGTGGCCGGAACAGCCAAATAAACTTGTCCACCATGCAGCTCTGCCAAAATCCTCCCTCGGTCCTTTTCTTTGGCAGCCTTCTCGTGCCGCAAAGCTTGCCGCCGCCGTTTCTGTTGGTTCAGTTCAAACCTGTCCATTATTCCCATAGACTGCTGCTTCTCTTCTTCTGTAACATATTCCAGAGGCAAACTGTCCTCAGCAATTGCCTGGCTCTTGCGTGCAGCTGTCTTATTCTTCAAAAAAGTGTTTTCCTTGTCATGGTTTGCTGTCCAGCAGTTTTCATTGACATCAACATCCGTCAACTGGTAGTCCTCAGCAGCCGCTGCAGCCGCTCTCCGGCGCCTCTTGATGAAATCAGTTTCAGTAGGGCACTTCTCGTCACTGGCAACGTTGTCCCTATTCCTTTTCAAGCCTTTGTCCACACGTGCTCCTTTCCTCTCACGCGGAGCGCCATACTGGCAGGACCAAGCAACGCGAGCAATTCTACAGATTTCTTCTTGCTCACTCACGGTCTGTTGTGGCAAGTCCAAGAACAGTTTTAACACGAGTTCTTCATGACTTGCTAAAGCATGGTGCCGCTGCTTTGTAAAGTTGTAAGCTACCTTGCTAAAATTTTGCTCCACCCCAGACGTACTTGGCGTGCACACAAAGTAATTTTCCAAGCACGTCCTCAAGACATTCGTTGGATGAGCTTTCTGTGTCGCATGGTGCGCCGCCATGCTGGCAATGGTTTCTTTCCACGCTTCCTTGTTTGCCTGCCTTGCCAAACCTTTGGCGGTGGAGTCCTTCAATTTCCCAACCTGAACCCTGAAAGCCAGCTGAGCTCTAGGGTACATGTCTTTCCACTGCTCTTCCAATTGTCTCTCATCTAGTTTAAACGCATGGGCTAGAATGCGGAGATGTTTTTCTGAATGGTTAGACAAGCCACCCAAATTGAAAATATCATACGCCTGAATGACTTCGAAATCAGGGAATTCTGCCTGAATGGCCGAATCAGCCAATTTAACCCTAGCCTGCATGGCGCCGAAACAGCGATCGACTTTTTCAGAAGCAACCCCATGGCTCGATCCGATTGATTTCAAATCCTTGCCAACTTGAAACACGATCGGTGATTTTAACATGTCCAAGACAGTTGACGTGTATCCGAACTGTTGCAGACACTTCTTTCCAACAAAAAGACTGTGCACCTCTTTCATATGACAATGAAGTTCTTTGTGGACAACCGCTGGGTCAGTGCTTTCCTCGTCGAGCGCACGTGTGAGTGCCAAGCTGGAGTCTGCTGCGTCGGCTAGCATTGCTGCTTGCACGAGCCTTTCTTCTGAAATCCAAAGAAGCCATGCTTTTGCCCGCTTGGCAGCGGAGTCTGTGCGAGTTCGCACCAAGTGAAGTGCTGTTTTCAAGGTAGCATGGAAATATAGAAGTGTCCTACCCAGTGGACGGGCAAAGGACTCAAAGCGATGCCCTGCTGCCCTGAACGAGTTCAAACTCCTTTGCACGGCTGCATTTGAGGTCTTGGCATATTCAGAAAAAATTCTCTTGATTTCCACTGAGTGATGCATAATTTTAGCCATGGAAGCGCCTCTGCACATATAGTCCATGATTTCTTTCAGTTTGGGATCAGCATGCCAGGGCCTGCTGGTCAACCTTCGTGACGCATGGGCTCGATCTCGGAAAACATGCTGAAGGTTTGGTGTCAGCGCTTCAGCGCCATTGACAGACAGAGCTGCCGACCTCATTATCTCAGCGCTGGCCATCTCATCTGCTGCCGAATCAGCACACAGGACAACAACCTTTTCCCTGAGAAGTTTCAACAAAGGTGCTTTCAAATGCCCAGCCAGGTGACCATCAGGTGCCCCATAGAATCTTGAGCAGGCACGCTTCATGATATTCAAAGTTGTTTTTGACAAGTTGTCTGCGCCGGTGCCTTCAAATCTTCCTTGGCCTAAAAAGCCGCTGCGCACAGACAGGTCCGACGAGACTGTTCGAAATCTAACTGCGACCCTTCCATGTCTTTCATCCCGCATCAAAGCAATCAAGGAAGCACTTTGGATAGCTCGCTGGTCCAAAACTTTGACCCCTTCAGCTAAACACCAAGCCATTTTCAACTCCTTTCGCGTCAAGGTTGTTGATTTACCGAATTTTCCAATAAAATCAGAAAATTCTTGGCAGGACGGAGCCAATGTTGACGGGGGGCCGAGACAGCCACCTTCGCTGCTTGGATTTGCTGGGCCGAAGCAGCCCATGCCACTGTGGCCGGACCAGCCACTTTGGCCGGAACAGCCACCAGTTCGATGAAGATAGTCTCTGACAGCTCCAAGGTGCGCCTTTGTCTTCTGGTGCTTCTGGAAGTTGATTTTCTGCATTTGACTCGGCTTTGTGACCTCATAGTTTGCAAAGATGCTGACCAACCGGTTTTGGTTACACACTTTGCAGCCAACACCCCATGGCTTTGCACGTGTGTCCAACCAAGTTCCGAGCTCGGGCTGGAAACTTGAAATGGGGAATTGTGAGCCCCATTTCAACCCCAAGGCAGCCCACTTTGAACTGCCATCTGTCATTGCCGAGGCAGCAATGCTTGACAGCTATTGAGCCCAAACACAACGACGAGAAATATAAATAGCCCAGCAAGCATGTCAAATATCTCTTCAGCCTTCCCAACAAGAAAAGACTAAGTTGAAAGAACCAAAGGAAAATAAATAAAACTATCTAAGAAATTGGAAAAGACGAGGGTAAGATAAGAAAACGCAGAGAAACCTCCAAACATTTCTTAGAGCTCAAACTTGAGGTTTTCAAAGGGTAGTTCCAGTCAGTCATTGTTGGTAGCAAACGCATTTTTAAAATAGCTGAGCCAAATAAAAAAATACCAAAAAATATCTCAGGCCCCTCAAAAAAAAAATACAAAAATACAGCTAAATACAACTAAGACAACAACACTTGCCAGACAGTGGATGGAGGCCTTCAACCATCCAAGGTGCAGCATTTCTCCACAGGCTGATGCCATTTCCATTCAAACCATTGTTTTTTTCTTCAATGAGGTTTTCCTGTTTGCAAAGAGTATATCATATGGCTGTGACTCAAAATGATTCACCGCCAAGAGTGCATCCTTTGCGTATATATATATATGTATATACATATATATATATATATATGCACATAATTTCTCAGAACATATCGGATATATCTAAAAGTCACCTATGTCGTGGATTTATTGGTGGTTTACTGGTAACACCCATTGTATTCAGCCGTAGGCAACATGACCAGACCAGGTTATAGCGCAGTTGGAGGAGGACTTACAGGCGACGATGGGTTTATGGGAGGGACGGCAATGCAGTTGAGCCATTCAAGCGTACCTTGTTGATGGGTCAAAACTGGAATTGTTTGATTATACTAACTTGTTTATTTTGGGGTTATGATTATACAATTGTTTTTTTTTACGAAAACTGGTTTATTGGAAAGTTTGATTGACCACAATGGCAATATTTACTCGCCAAGCAGTAGAATAAGATGGGCCCGGGGTATTATTCTGGATGGGTCCCGGAAGGGCGGTACTATCATGCAAGGTGAGGCCAAAAGGGTGCTAGTTGGTGCAAAGAAGTTAGTGACTTCTAGACTTTATGCTGTTAAGGCCCGAAATACCAATTATAAAATTGTTATAAATGGAGTTATAAGTTATAAGTCCATAAATGGGTTGATTTCACTGAATTATACTTGGTATATAAAGGGCCATAACTGTTGGGGATATAACTATCATCTTTTAAAAAGCTTTTTTCAAGCAACACACTCCGAAAAACTGGGTGCCCTCCCTGGTGCCCTCACCTCATGGGATGCCGCCAATGTTTGGTCATGGTGAAACTGATGATAAACTAATGGATTTTGTTCGGTAACCACATCTGGTTGGTGGTTTGGAAGATGATTTTATGACTTTCCATATCTTGGGAATATTAATCCCAAACTTACTCTCATATTTATCAGAGGGGTAGGTATACCACCAACCTGACATAGCTTTTGACCCATCTCCCAAATGATGTTTCAGCCTGGCTACATCCATGTCTTCAAATCAGGTGTTTTGTATTTCCGGGTCTGTCAAACTATGTCAAACTAGGGAGCTGAGTATGGGATAGATTCCAAAAAGAATGTTGTCATAGGTCATCATTCTTTGGCCAGCATTGATTGGCTTCCAAAAAAAGTGACCTTACAAAAAACATCTCTACAGGATGGTGCCCTCCAGTTATAAGTTGGTTTATAACCCCCATTAACTATAGTTATATCTGCCATAGACCATAGTTGTGGGAGTTATAAACCAACTTAGCTAACTATGGGGCACCACCTTGTATCTGTGTAAACTATAACGGTTTACCCCAGTGATTTACATCGGAGGAGCGGGTTAATGTGGGTAAAACAATGCCATAAACCACCCATATGTTGATGGTTTATACAACCTATGAAAATGGTGATGACTGGGGGATCGTTTATGATTGTTTTACCCACATTCATTTATAACTAATCATAAATTGTTAGTGGTTAACTGATTTATTAATGATGTATTTCGCAGATTTTAGCAGTATTTTCTTCTTATATAAAATAATTGTTTTTTATGTAATTAACATTAACCCATTTGGGAGCCATGGGCATGCAGTAGCGCGGGTGAGGTCGTTCGAGTTGCAGCTGATGGGGGCAGTGATGATGCCGTCTATGGAGAGGTCAGGAGATTGTGAAACCTGGGTGGTTTTGATGTGCTGAGACCAACAAGGTCAACAAGGTGAGGCCCCTAGGAAAGCCACAGGAAAAATGGTGATTTATGATGATTTGTGGTGATTTAATGGACAAAACCATGGGAAAAAATGTGATTTATTGTGATTTCTGGTGATATACTAAAATGTCCTTAATCCAACACCGCGTGCCGCCATCGAGACCCTCTTGTACCACACCAGCGAGCTACATGTTGTCACCAGCAATGTCAACAGCGCAGCCAACTCCAACTGGAATGTGGCAACAAGATGCGCCACGGACGAGAAAGCGTCCATCCAGATTTGGGAGTTGGAGTTAACAACTCCAGGTATGAACATTCCAACTTCCATCTCAACAACATTGAGCTGGGAGAACAATGTGATGTGGAGCTACAATATGTCTTTCTCAACAATGGAGATTGATGGACCAGAGCACCGCAATTGGCGCGTGCTCCAACAATCCATCGAGTACTCTAGAATCAAAATCCTCACCAAGATGGCAAATGGTGAAGGCAACAGGATTTTCGGTGTATGTATATATACATATATCTGGGTAAATTATAACGACCTCACTGCGACCTCACTGAAATCATGGTTAGTAAGAGGAATCATCCCAAATTTGCCTTATTTCAGGTTAGTGAATTATTGTAATTTACCCAGATATATATAGCTGATTTCGGACATCGCGAGATTTTGCTGCAAATAACTTGGTGAATTCTAAGGTTGACCCGGGGGATATAACTATAGTCAATGGGCTGCAAACCAACAAACATAACTGGGTGGCCCACCTTGATGGGATGGGAGTTGCTCTTTAACCATCAACATTTACAGAGGCTTAACCAGCATTGGAGGTTTATCTGGTGAAATATTGGGATAAGCCAATCATTTTGTGGTGAGATCCAATGACATTAAACCAGGATGGAATATGGGACATGATGCGGGATATAAAATGGGCTATACCACCAAAATTATATTTGAAAAGGGAAATTGGTGAGGAACAAAGAGATTTAAGGGTATCCTATTTCCAAATAAGCCCAAGTGAAAAGAGTGGGATGGTTTTTTGAAACATCTCAAATAAATTCTGTTTAAAAAAAGTAACTAGTACCAGCCAAACATGGTAAACAAGGTAATGACCTATTACTAGGATGACAGCAGGAGTCTCAAAACCGTGAAGGGACAATAAAACGTGGTGCAAGTCGGATGGTTCAGGATGAACCACAGAAGAGTCGATCGAAGTGTCGTAGGATCACCCTTAAGCTTTGTGTAGTTCTGGAAATATTCTCAATAGGCTGGGGTACGGACAAAAAAAACATGGATGTTTCCCCCAGCCTAAAATGAGACTACCACGGAACGTGCATAAATTTGGCACCGAGGATCAAAATCTGAAGCAGAATCCAATGGAAAGGCTCCGGCTTCGTTCCGTACGTTACAGCATCTGGATGAAATCTATCTTCATAACATACAAGTAAAATGGCTGGTTAGATCACATTAAACCATTGAGATCCCATTAAACCATGGAATATCCCATGTGGAGGTTTCCGTTTTGTCATGGGGGTACCCCCAAATCATCCAAGTTATTGCCTATGATCGATGGGAAAACGCATGGAAATCAACCTTCCCTGTCACTTTCTTTTCGATACTGGTCCCACATCTGTCGATGTCTTTACTGGTCAGTGCCATGGGTCCAAACTCATTCTACAAGGAATAATTCCCAGGGTCAGAACTTTCACCGATATATTTTTCAATTTTCCGATTTGTGAGCAGATCCTACATATTTCACCAGATTCGACCCAGGTTGGCTTAGCCTAAATAAAGTGGGTTAAGGGAAATTTCATGCAGCAGGGATACGTACGCCTGGTTTTGTTTGCTCAAGAGCAACCCGTGATTTCATTGGCGCAGTGTGTTTGTGCCATGTTCAGTTTGTTGCTTCGTGTGTGCATGTGTGTGTGTGTGTGATACATACATATGAACATTTGATAGCAATCGTAGTCTAACGGTCCTCCTCCTCATCATCATCACCACATATAACCATAGGCACAATGTTCAGTATCAGCTCAACCGCATTTCTGCTCTGTTGATGAACATGGTTGACTGTTGCGGCAACTGTTGCCTCAGCATTCCTTTGGGAGAGTCATTTGCACCAGTGAGATTAAGATGAGTCAAAACTACACGACTTTCCCATATGATTTCTTAGAGAAACATCCATTGAACACTTTTGTTGGTGATCACTAGGCTACCATGGTATTGATTCGCAACATGGTCTTGAAAGACACGGATCTCATAATCGAAACAGAAAGATATGAGGCCTCCATGACCCTTGTTGCCCAAAAAGATAGACATCAAACATGTATTTGGGTGGTCTACTGGGTCAACCTTGGTTAGATACACTTGAAAAGTACTTTTATATGTTGCAACATCAATGGTAAAATGAGTCCATTCACCAGCTAAAAATCAGACTTTTTGACAAGGAATCTAAGATTCACCATGTCTGTATTTCAGTTAGAGGGATTCCCCCTGGCGATTCCCCGAAGGCTGATATACTAACGGGGTTTCGTTGTCCATGTAGCTTTCGGTTAGCCTCTGGTCATTTTACCATTAAATTATAACTTAATAGTGATAGGAGTTACTTCAATCCATTTATAACTGTTGCCCCCCGGTAAACGAACAGTTTGCTATTGAAAACGACCATTCATAGTTGATTTACCCATTAAAAGGGATGATTTTCCACAGCTATGTTAGTTTACCAAAGGGTACTACTAAGAGGAGATAATGTTCGTCTAGAGCTAAATACGAAATGCGCAACCATCCATTCTGTTTTACTGAGTACAAGT